CCCCTCTTCCCCCCCTCACCTCCCTCTACTCCCCCCAACACACACCCACACACTCTTCCTTCCCTACTGACTAAGAAGAACGATATCCCCCCTCCTTCCGTGGAACACACGCCCACACAATTCCTTCCCTACTGCCAAAAAGGAATGACAGTGCTCTTTTCCGAATGGCTGGCGGGAAACATCCCCACAGGCATCTAATGACAAAAGGGCTAGCTATCCTTATCATTGTGTACTTTACATAATGACGATGACAAGAACATCACGCCTTGAGAACAACATCCCCTCGGAGTGGGAGCAAGAAGGACGGAACATCACGTCTCGCAAACTATCTCCCATCAGAGTGTGAACGAGAGACGAGAACACAAATGTGTACGTAACGAAGCTTTACTTACCAAAGGGAACTCCCGATACTTGCAACTGAGCATCGCGCAGAGTCGCAGACAGACTTTGGCTGCTAGATGCAAAGTCGAAAGGCAAACATATAATCCTGCCTCAAAGCACGGTCACTAACCAACAAACCAACCCGTCCGACTCCCCAGCCCGGTCTTCAGCTCAGAGGCAAAGAAGCAAGCACACCCTCCACCGGAGAACAAAGCCAACAGGAGCATGAACTGTAGTCACATCTACACTGCCCGGAATGCTGTGAGTGGAGATGGGTTGCACAGGGGCCGGGGGGGAGGGGGGGAGGGGAGGGGGAAGAGAGAGGCAGGGGGGAGGGGAGAACGCTCGCGAACAAGGTTGCAGAAAGTGGACAGACGGCACAAGGAGGAGAGAATAGGAGAGGCCAGCCGGCGCATGGGTGCCTATATTAACTGCCATCGACGGAAGCACTTTTCACAACGTAACGGGGATAGGTTTGGAGTTCGCAGAGGGCTGGTTACCCCAGCAGGAGGAAGGGAGAATTGGAGAGGTGAGTCACGGCATGGACGACCGACAGCACTGCTTGCAGTGTCATGGGAACGGGTTTGGGTTTGGGCGCACGTGTGGGTCCCGTCTTTTCACGATATGGACCTTGGGAACCAAGGGCGGTGGGGGTCTTTTCAGATCGTGGACATCGTCCACTGATATGATCAATATCAACATTACTCGTCCATATCGATTCCCGCAAAAAGAAATCAAACCAAGATGGTTGAGCAGACTGTCGTTCAGGAGACGTGCCCGACAAGAGAGTGATTATCATCGCAAGATCAAAATCAGATAATCGAGCGAGCGCGGGGCAGGGAAGAACGCCACGGACCGCGCCTGTATGTCACATCCCCAAATCATAATCTGAACTAATTGGCAAGTCATGTTGCCTTGCTATCAAACTCGTAATCCTGGATCAGTCTGATGAACCAGGCACGGAAATCAGACCAGGAACGGAAGTCTATAGCTACATTGTACAAGCCCTGGGCCCTCGAGCATGTAAAGAAAACACATAAACGAGGCCCCACCGGCAGACCGAACAAAAATCACAGCCCATCTGCCTTTCAAGCTCCGTCTGCTAGAGGACGCAGCTCTCAAGACCTGTCTCTTATACACATCTAGATGTGTATAAGAGACAGGTGTAAGGAGGTCCCAGCAAAAAAAAAAAAAAAAAAAATCCAAAAACTCCGAAAACAA